TCAGAAGGCAGAGCAGGAGGAAAGGCCATGTCTGATGGCCAGGCTGCTCTGGTGGCTCTTCTGCCCAGTGCACTGCACCGTGTTTAAAGTGAGTTAAAATAAAGTCCAGGTGTGCCGTGTGTGAAGCTGCAGGTCTTTGCTAAGCACTGACTCCACCTGTGCCAGCAATTCCCATTTCTGCCCCAGCCCTCGGTCAGAGCTGAACTGGCAGGAGCGGTGCTGTGGTGCCTGCAAGGAAGGCCACGCCTGATGGATGTACTGAACCCAAATCCTGGCTCCCAGACTGTGTGATTGTGGTCTAAAATCAGCTGATCTGACTGAGAAATCATGTCACTGAACTGAATGGGGCTTGCACAGGTTTTTACACAGTGCCAGGGGGAAAAGTGTCAGGCCCAGTCCCATATGGTGCAAACTGAGACTGGTTTTAATTCCGGGGGCCCCCAGGTGATGGGCATTCCCTGGGGCTCTTTGGGTGGGACTGCTCGGGTGTGAGCAGCCTTTGGGAGCTGATCAGCAGGCACTGGAAGGCTTTCTGGACACAAGTTTCATGTGATTTTAGGAGAATCCTGGGTTGCTTGCAGTGGGATCACTGTAGGATGCAGAGGAGACAGGGACTAAGAACAAGCTGAAAGCTCCTCTTGCTGGCCCTGTGGTGTTATAAACAAGAGAGGAAACAAAATGTCAGGCAGAGGAAGTGATAACCTCGAATTATCCTTTGGGGCAATGTTCTAATCTCGGCTGAACTGATTAGTCATCCAGGACAATTAAAATACTGCTTTACAATATTTAAGTAACTTAACCTCTGCAATGGCTGTCATATGTGGGGATGGCATTACTCACTAGGGAAGGGAAAAGTAGATACACAAAATGATCTCATTCTGCTGAAGTCTTTAGAACCTGAACACACACACTGGGAGCGATTGTGATCAAACAAACTTCAACTGGGACTCACAAAGAGCTTGTTTATAGCTCCCAGGCAAATGGGCAGACACTGACAGGGCTGTGTCCCTTTGCGTGCAGGCATCAGCCTCAATCTCAGAAAGTACCGTTCCATTAAGTGCAATTAGAATATCTGAGCTCAATAGACTGCTCCTTTTATCAGATCAAGTACCAGGGATTAAACTCCTGGTGTTTTGCATCCAAATGAGATGTCAACTGGAACAGAAATACTTGCTTTTAGAATTGGTTGTGTGAAACATCGTGCTACAATTTGAATGATCCCTTGATGACTGGACTTTCCGGGATAGAAGTTCCAATGTGAGTATTTTGTACAGAATCCCCAAATAGTCAGATCATTTGCTGGCTCTGCTCTTGTTTAACAGATCCTGTGGCGGTCAGGGAGGAACTGGGAAGCAGAGAACACAAAGGAAGATCCGTGGTTTGCTCTTAAGGAAAGGTTTGCAGCATGTCCATCCCCGCGTGCGGGGCGAGCCCGTGGCACTCAGGCAGAGCAGGAGCCCCAGCCCGGCGGCTCTCGCACGCAGCCCGGGCCGGGGCCGTTCCGCGGCCTCTAATGCCCTCTGATGGACGGACGGGTCACGGCTCCCTCCCTTACGCTCGGCCTTAAACCCGCGGGCCTCGGGGGCTTTGGAGCTAGGAAGGTTAAGTCACCTCTTACTAAACCTTGGCAGGTCCTTTCCTTCCTCCCTTCCTTCCTCCTTTGCTTAGGTTTGTTTGTTTGGCTTCTCTCAAGAACAGGAGAGAAATATTGTTGGATGGCAGATTTGGCACGGTTCCCCCCTGTGACCCATCAGGAATGGGATCAAACCTGTGCCTCACAGAGGAATGCCTCCATAGTGGATGGGAGCTTCTGGACCAGAGCAGATAAATAGAAATTGAAAAGTATCACTCTGCATGTTTGAGCCACTGCTGGAGTGTTTGGAAAATGCTGGTGAAAATGAGAAACTGGGATGGGAGGAATAGAGAGAAAAAAATCAAAGGATGAAACAGCCTTCAGGAAGTCAGAAGGAAAAAAGGTTAATAGAGAAATAATTTGAGTTGAAACACAAAATAGAGGAAAGCAGAAGATGTGAGAAAGGAAAAACAAATCCATAATCTCTGGCAAGAAGCCAAGTGTCACCTGCAAGAGCCAGTTCAGGTGTAATGCCAGAGAGGCCCAGATCTCCTGGGTACAGTGTGGGTGATGTTCAAGAAATTAACTGAATCTGAAAGGGTAAATGCACCAGAAAGAAAGGAAATGCTGCAGGGCTTCTGCCTTTGAAGGGGACTTTATTGGAGGTGGGGCTGTTAACTGATGGTATGGACACAGGATCTGCACCTTCACTCCCCAGCAAGGACAGAGGGTGAGCTGAGAGCTCCCTGAGGTTTTCCTGCAGGCCTGGCCAGGTCATTTCCTATGCATGCCTCGACCTTCTCCTCTGCCTCCTCATCCTCTAGCTCAGGCAAAAAGCAGAAGTGCCAGAACACTTCCGAGTAAGTGATTCAAGGGGCGTTTTTGGCTGGATTGAAAACATCTGCGGCTGGAAATTTCACAAGGGGGACTCTTCCCATGTAGATAAATTTCCAACTCACACTTTAAGGCTTGGCTGTTCAGGCTTTCAGGCTTTAAAACTCTGCTGAGAGGGAATGGAGACATGGCAGGGACTTCCCTGTGCCAAGAGACTCCTACCACTAGTGCCACTTTGACAGCCACAATGGGAGAGTTTTAGTGAGGAAAAGCCATTGGCATTCACAGCAAAACCTGACAACACTCTGTGGATGCCTTAGGCTGCATTCCTTATTTTAGTTCACATGGAAGCTTAAGGAAGTGCATAAAAAAGCTCTTGCTAAAGTGTCCTTAAAAATCCACAAGCAGGAGGTTGTCAAGAGCTGCTGAAGAAATGATGCCACCCCTCAGAGTGTCAGGGGAACTTGGAAAGGTTCATTCTCCAACAATTCCCAGCTGGCTGCTGCAGGCTGTCCTGCCTCTGCCTGGGAGGGCACAACCAGGGTGGCTCTGGCACAAAATTAATAATAGAGCTGCTGGGGGGCTTGGGGACAACAGAATGGGTCTCCAGTCTAAATACTGGATCGAATTTTTCATGGACTTTGGGAGAACACTATGAGAATTTCCAACATAGCCATTCAACCCCTGTGTCTAAAATATGGGAACACTACAGCAAATCTTTTTTGCTTTTAGATTTACTATGGGAAATGCACTGCCAGAAGCAGGAAGAAGCACTGTTTGTTTTGTTTGGTACGTTTTGAAGGGAAGAAATAGCCTGTCCTTTTCTACCTCAGTCAGGAGTTCCCAGGATGCTCCTCTCTTATCTAATCATATCATCCTGATTTCTTTCTGGCATTTTGGGACATGTTTTTCATAACCATATCAGTCAGCTGAAGCCCTTTCCTGCCCCTACATGAATTATTATTGTTTAGATTTTGGCAGAACGTAGAGATCCCTGTGAAGATTGTGGCTGGATTGCCTTCAGTGGAGATTATTCGTGCCTGGCTGCTGTGGGACACTGAGGGGTCAAATCAGAAACAGCTGGAAAAGGAGCCGTGACCAGGAGGGCCCAGTGGAGACCCAGCCCTCGGGTTTAATGTGAATTAAGAAACCTTCTGGGGAAGGGCTCTGCTCCACTGAACCCTTGGGGCTTTTGTGTTCATCTCTGCACCTTTGCTGTTGGTGTTTTGTGTTCTCTGCCTTTGCACTACTCCCTGTGACAAAGCCTTATTCTTCAACCAATTAATTGGGGGTTTTCCCTTATATAAAATATTTGCAATTGATTTTTGTCTTTTTATAAAACATCTGCTCTTCAAAAATTTGCTGTCACCCAAATTCCTGGATTTGATTCTGGAATGCAATGGAACTGCTTGTCCTATAAATCTAAATTACAGGATTTTTATTGCTCGTTATTTACAGGTAAAGTTAACACAGGATAAATTTGATATTGCTGTTGCTGGTAATAATTCCTATGTGCTATGATAACAGCAAGAGTCTCTGAGTCACATCAAGGCCCTGACTGAGTGGGGGGACAGAAATTCCATTTGATTCTCCAGTTCTTCTGCCAATTTTAAATCCACTGTTCCAGAGCCCTCACCTCAAGCTGCATCTTTATTTATATCATCAGAATTTCAACGTGACTCTGGTATGAAAGAACATTATTTTGTGCTTCTGTCTACTCAGAAGGAAAACAAATTAACGTTCCCAAGAAGGAAAGTGGAAGTGGATGTTTATTTGTGTGCATCCTACTTTTCTGAGTCACCGGGTAGAGTTGGCTGGGGCTGGTGTGACCAGGCTGGGGACGGAGGTGCCACGCTCGGATCTGAAGTTACTGCCAGAGTGAAGACTCGGAATGTAACAGAATAAGTTAATTTATGGAAACACCCGGGTTTATGTTGGAAGGTAAGATACAGCTGTGCATCCCAGAGCCAGCAAACCTGCGGGCGATGCGTCACGCACAGCGCTTGGAGATGGCCCCGCAGGGCGAACACGGCACCAGCCGAGGTGCGCTCTGCAGGGCACGGCCACGGGCCCGTCACGGGGGCGCACACGCGGAGCACCGCCGGGATGGCCACGCTGCGTCCCGGAGGTGTGTCCCGCTCCGTTCCCGAGGGCGGTGTGTCCGTCCCGGAGGGCGGCGTGCGTCCGTTGTGCCCATCCCCAGGGCGATGTGCCCGTCCAAGCCCCCGAGCCCCCGCCATGGCTCTTCATGCCCCGCCCGGCCCCGCCCACAGCGGCCCCGCCCCACCAGGCCCCGCCCAAACCGGCCCCGCCCAAACCGGCCCCGCCCTCGTCGGGCCCGCCCCGCTCCCGCCCAGCCCCTCCCTTGCGCAGGCGCTGCGCAGGCGCAGGAGCGCGCGGGCGCGGGCGGGGGCGGCGCGCAGGCGCAGTGCGGGGCTCGGTGTGCCCCTGGCGCGGCGGGCGCGGCGGCGGGGGCGGCGCGCGCTCCCGCTTCCGGTGAGGTGTCATGGCGGGCCCCGCGCGCTGAGGGCCCGCGCCACCGGCACCGCCCGCGCGCACCCGCCGCTCCCCGGGCGGGCGGCGGCGGCGGGACATGGCGGCGCACAAGCCCGTGGAGTGGGTGCAGGCCGTGGTGAACCGCTTCGACGAGCAGGTAGCGGGGGCGGCGGCGCGTCCCCCTCCCCGGGCCGCGGGGAGGGCCGGGGGCGCGCGGCGGGGGAGCGGCCCCGCTCCCCGGGATGGGGCGGCCGTGGCAGCGCCGCTCCTGCCGCCCCCCGCCCGTGCCGGGGCCGAGGCCCCGGGCCCCAGCGCCCTTTGTGCCGGGCGGGCCCGGGGCGGGGCCGTGCTGCCCTCGCAGCCCCTCACAGCCCCTCACAGCCCCTCGCTCCCGCCGCACCGCGGTCCCGCCGCCGCCGGGCCGGCCGCTCCAGGTGCGGCGCATCCGTCCTTGTGCCGGCAGCGGCGGTGAGGAGGGGCCTGTGTCTCCTCGCCGCTGCTCCCCCGCCTCTCCCGGAGTGTCTGTGCTCTCCGTGGACAGTGCTGTGAAATTCACGTCCTTGCTTTGCATCATCTGCCTCTCCCGAAGGGAGAAGAGCCTCAGAGCGGGGTTAGGAGGGCTGGAAGCGCTGCGGCCGCCGTGCTGCCCGTGCCCCCGGTGCAGGGGGATGCCGGTGTGCAGCCCCAGCCCCTGAGGCGTCACGAGGGGGTTCCGGCCCCTGGTTTCCATTGCAGTGATGGGTATTTACATCTCCTTGCAAAAGTCAGCGCTAGTAGTTCGGAGAAGGATTTTCTGAATGGAAGGAAGAGGGATTTGTTGGCCTTAGACTTTATATTTCTCTGATCCAGCAGCAGGAACTGCTTACTGGGATTAGGTGGGTGACTCCCCGTGGGGCTAAGCTCGGAGCTTACGCTCCTTCCCTGCTCCCAAGGTGCTTTCCTGGCTGAGGGAGCTCTCGTGAGGCTCAGTGATCAGTTCCTGTGGTGTTTGTCTCATGTTGCCACACTGTGAGTGCAGCCCGTGTGTCACAGGAGGCCCAGCTCTGTGAGACCCTGCTTAGTGTAAATCCATCAAAAATGTGGAGCTGCTCCTCCAGACTGAGCCTTGTTCTGTGCTGCATCTGTCCCTCAGTGCTGCTGGGCTTTAACACCCTGCAGAAAGATGTGGCCTGGTGCAAGAAAAACAAGCTGTTTCTTTTTACATTTATATGAAGTTTATTTGAAGAGGAAAATATCAAACTTTGTCTTTTGACATTATAATGAGGCAGATTTTTGCAATATATTATAGACACATTTGCATAGTTACCTTATTCTCCTCCTTGAGTCATAGATCATTTTTTCCATAAGCTTAGAAAACATAGGATTGATTATGCTCCCAATAATGCAAGAAAATATTTCTTGATGTCCTGGTGTTAAAAGGACCTGGGCTTTCTCCTCTTCTTTGTTGTGTATATTGTGGAATTGGGCTTGCCAGCATCTGTTAGGAGTTACAAACTTAGAACAGAATTATTTTTCTGTACTTTTTGTGGCATGGTTATGGATAGGTATAGGGGAGGAGTCCTCTCTGGGTAGGAAGAAAGCTGAGATGCTGAAATAGTGGAGTTACAGTGATAATATGCATCAAGGGCATCGTTGTCAGTCACAGTTGTGGTGTCCTACCAAAATATACTGAATGTATGCAGATTATTTCAGTGGTGTTCATGCAGCTGTGAGGGTTTGCATCCTGTGTGTGCCTGAATGCAGGACCTGTGGGTTCAGCACCAGAGCCAGCTTGGCATGTCACAGTGTTTGAGCGAGGAGGGTGACAAGGGCAGCTCAGGTCTGTTGTGTTTTGGTTTTTCTGCCCAGGAGAAGACAAACTTTTCCAGGGTTTCTTCCTTCCTTTGCAAAGAAGGAAAGCGTAACCATCTTTCCTCCCAATTTACAGATGTAGACAGGCTTTTCATTCATTTGCTGAGTGCTTGAATTCATTTTGGGAAAGATGAAGCAGCAAGCTGAGAGGATGCTAATTGGTATTGAAAACAAGGGAAATCAGGGCAAACCAGTCTTCTCTGGTCTGCTCTTGTTTATTGTTAAAAATGCTGCTTTAACCAAAATGTGCTTTTGTGTGTACAGTTCTGTGGGCCTGCAGCGACTGGCAGGCAGAGTTTGTGAATTAACCAGTGCCTGGCTCACGGAATAAATCCTGCAGCTCCTGCCAGTCCTGCCCTGTGCTCCAGTGAGCCCTCACCTGCTGCAGGGCTGGCCTGGGGCTGCCCCAGGCTGCAGCTGCTGCAGAAGAAGCTCTTGCTGGGACCTGTGAGACCAGACCCCACTGACAGAGCATGGGGAGACCTCTCAGCAGAGCCTGCACTCAGTGCTGGTTACTGAACTTGGGGTGGACAGGATACAATTAGACTGCAGTAGCACAGAGAGCCTGGAAATTCATGGAATTCCCTGTGATTTCAGACATAGTCAGAGCTTTGGAAAATAAAATTCTCTGGTTTTCCTGTGGAAATACTCACTTCCAGTTTTGTTTTGTGTTTTCATAGAGCTTTAAGCATGTTGCAATGTGAAATCACAGGAAGGCTGGCACTGCACTGGAGTAGTTGTGAACATAGCTGGAGGAGTCTGACTGCCCAAACCATTTATATCTAGATTGGTTTAAAACTATCAGATATAATAAAAACTCTTAATCCTTTACAAACTTGTGGCCATGTAAGTGGCAGCTGTGGTGGAGTGCCCATCCCTGGAAGTGTTCAAGGAAGAACTGGATGTGGCACTCAGTGCTCTGTGCTGTGACAAGTGGGGGTCAGTCACAGGTTGGACTCAGCCATCTCAGAGGTCTCTTCCACCATTATTGATCCTGTAGTTCTGTGATTCTGATATGCTTTAAAGGAAGAAGACTTCTGTTATGTGGGTTTTGGTTTAGGCTTCCCATTTGCAGTTCATGAGGTGTGATGGCTCTCAGTTAAGAAAGTGCATAAAAACTGGAAGTCAGTAGTCATGTTCCATTCTCCCTTTAATTAAAAGGTATTAAATTAAAGCAAATATTCCCTCCTCCTGTTGATCTTTCTCTACAGTGTTTGAAATCTGTGCAGAATCAGAGACCTGCAAAAGCAGTGGTTGCAGTACCAGCTCTGGTTTTCCTTGTGGCTTGCTAGGACATCACTCACAGTAATGGGCTGTACTGTGAGGGGTTTGCTGTGCTGTGCTGTACTGTGAGGTGTTTGCTGGGCTGGCAGGAGGGGCAGCTCCTGCCCCAGCTGCTGTGTGTGGGGCAGCATGCCCCAGGAGCTGGGGCTGAGCCAGGCTGGAGCCCTGCCCTGCAGCACAAGGGGTGCTGTTCCATCTTCCTCGGGCAGAACCTCCCCTGGCTCTGATGTGATGGCTCTGGGGGTGTGTGCAGGGGATTTGCACTGAGGTGCTGCTCTGCACAGCAGGGAAATGCCCAGTGCCACGGGTGTGCCCTGGCTGCAGGGAGGAGCTGCTGGAAGTGTCCAGGTGAGCCAGGGCCCTTCCTCACCTGACACAGTGTTTGTGTTGGCAGAGGGTAAACACAGCACTGCTCACAGCACCAACTTCCAGTTCACCTTCTGGCAATGCTTGATTTTTAGAGCATCCTATATAAAAACTTCTGAAAGTTGTGGAACTTGGGAAGGCTGGGCTGTGAGGTTCTTTTCAGGCACGGTGCCTCTTTAGCAGGTGTGTGTTCATAGAGGGGAGGAAGGTGCCTGTTGATTTAGAGGGATTTGTGTCTGGTTCTGACAGTGCTGATGCTGAGGAGGGCTAGTGCTGTGGGGATTTTCTGTCACCAGTACGTGTGTGTCCTGTGTTCTGCTGAAAAGTTCGAGAGATTGTTTGGAAGGATGAATTGAGGAGGATTTGGGGTCTGTTAAGGATAGCAGTAGGGATTTTTTCCTAGATGTTGTGTGTTTCTCCAGACTATTAAGTACCAACTAAGTAGAGTTGATTTAAGTTTGTGTTCATTAATTACAAGTGATAAAGCAAAATCCATGGCTCAGTGTAGCTTTTCTCAACAGCCTGAGTGCCCAACTTACAGACACTCAGGCCTGTCAGTGTTCACATAACAAAAGATTGGACCTTCTTGCGTCAGACTAGAGAATCAAAAGTCAATGAAAGTAAAATTTCAACTTTCCCCCACCCCAGTGTTTAGATTAATGGGTATTTGTAGAGAAGTAAAGTAGATTCTCTTTAGTCACTCAGCACTGTCACTGCATTCTGTGAGGGGAAATAAAATGTTCCAGTATGACAGAGTGCACAAAGAAAAGAGCTGAGAAATAAAAACCCCCAAAATAACAGTGCTAATATTTCCTTTTTGTATAGTTTCCCTTTTTAAATGATAGTATAAAAAGCAGTTTTACTTCTAGGTGACCTTGTTGTAGTGGCTGTTGTGGCAGGAAGCTCCAGAAGTGTGTAATGTGATGTTTCTCTGGCATGGGAGCACACAGAACTAGATCTATGACACAGTTTCTTTGAGAGGCTCTTCTCAAGTGTTTTAGCACTCAGTGGTATTGAGCTTTGCTGCTGCTGTCAGCACAGAGACTTGAAAATTCAGATAAAAAGTACTAGCAATAGTGAAATTTTAAATTAAATGTATCTATCATCCTCCAATGACTTCCAAAAATGTATTGTAGGAATAACACCTGACAGTGAAAACAAAGCTTGAGTCATCAATGCTGTTGATTCTGCTTTTGCAGGGGTGAGGCGAGCACCCTGGGGCGCCTGGTGCTGATGTGAAGCCCTGCAGCCCAAGCGGCCAGGGGGTCACAGATTCCAGTGGGGAGGAGCTGGGCTGCCCATGGGCTGTGCTCTGGGTGTATTCACAGGCAGAGTCTCAGCCCTCACCCTGGAGGTGCTGCAGCTCCTGGAGCCCATCTGGGGCTGCTGCGCCTCAGGGACCTGGGGCTGCTGCTCCCGGCTCTTTGGTCTGATCTGGAGGGCCAGGAGCATCTTTTCCCTTCATTGACAGTCAGCCATTCTCTTAGGAAACACCCAGCCCCTGTCCATGGGGAGCCTAGTCCATGGTACCAAAGGAATTGAGCTTGAACCCTCAGCAAAGCTCAGCTTGTCCAGAGAGGGAGTCACCCGTGGCATCAGAGCAGGACAGGGTGTCAGTGCCCTTTCCCTGCCAGGGCCAGGCTGGGCCAGGCACACTGCATTGACACTGCTGGACAAAAGTGCTCCCAGCTGGGTTCCTCAGTGCCATTCATCTTGCACTTGCACTCTGGGCATTTGGGCTTTCCCCAGCAGAAGGTGCTGCCAGGGGGCAGTGGGGAGGGTGCCCTTCCAGAGCCCCCAGCCTGGGAGGTGCCTCCTGAGGCACTTTGCACTGTAAAGCTGATTGTAATTCCATGGAATCCTTCTTTTACCCTCTCTTATTCTCTCTCTCTCTCTGATAATCTTTTCTAATGCACAAATATTACACCGTGGCATTTCCATTGAGCCGTTGCTGTCTTTCAGAATACACCTTTATTCACAATTCTGGTCAAAATAGGTTAAAACTTGTAGTAGCAATTCAAGTTCCTATGGCTAGGGAATTCCAAGGTCACACTTTCAAATACAAATGGCATGAATGTTCCTATATTAGTTTGCTTTTAGGAAACAGAAATCCTGATGAAAGGGGTTGTTTCTGCAGAGTGGCAGCCGGGAGCAGGCAGGGGAGTGGGTGTGTGCCTGGGAAGTGACTGGTTTGTGACCCCTGAAGAATTTGGGTGCAGAGGAAACAAAGTACCCAGTGTTCGTTCACACGGGGCAGGGCCATCTCAGCGGTGCAGTGCTCTGATCTCCTCTTTCTGGGCAAAGGGCATTTCAGGTCTCCTCTTTACCCCTGGCTCTTGGGCAGGGGACAGGTCAGGTGTGGCTCACAGGCACTCCAGGTGTGCTTGAGGCTGAGATTCAGCACTGGGGGTGTTGGGGGGACCCCAAAGGTACCACGGCCGTGGGGGCTCCTCCTTGGCTGGTGCTGCCCTGTGACAGAGCAGGGGACACACGTGGGACAGCTGCTGCCTTCCAGCTCACCTGCTCTGGGGCCTGCTGGGGTTTTCCTCCCCTCAGGTCCCACGGTGCATTTTTTTCTTGGAAGGTTTTGGTCTTTATTAAGCCCATTTTTAAAATAAAGAACCTTTTCTTAGAATTGTGTCTTATATTTTTCTGCTCCTTTTGATTGCTTTGACATCCAGGTTGTAGAAAATATATCACAAAATAGAGGTTTTGTTTCAGTTCAGAAAAAGGAACAGGTGAGCTTAAGCATTTTGTTTTATAGATAACAAATGGAAAGACGAATGTAGAGAAGATGAAATAATGTGTTCACTGTTGTCTCTTGTTGAATGTTTTTCAAGGTGGTTTCTGGTGTATCTCAAGTTTTTAACCCATCTTTAAAGGGTCAATTTCAATGTGAAAAAGCTTATAACAGTTCTCTCTTGTAGCTTCCAATAAAGGCTTGCCAGCAGAATACCCACACCAAAGTCAGCACGGAGCACAACAAGGAATGTCTCATCAACATTTCCAAGTACAAGTTTTCCCTGGTCATCAGTGGTCTCACCAATATATTAAAAAATGTTAATAACATGGTAAGTTTTCTAATTTTGAATTGTTTGGTGATTTTTTTTTCCAAATAGTTGTTATTTATTTCTATTGTAAAATCTGCAGAGAATTACTTGAAATTTAGTCAGATTGTTGCTTGCCTTTTACACTTACTTATTTTCTGTTTTGAAGTTCACCAGCAGCATCCATCACAGCCATGTTCCACAGGAAGGTGTTGGGATTTTGGGGCAGGGAAGGGATTTAAAACTGGAGCTATTTGAATTTTCCAGGCTGCTTGGGTGTTTCACTGTGTGTCTGTGTATATGTAAGATAGATGTATTTTATAACAACCAGATGAGTCTCAGTCAGAACCTTTGCCATGAGAAAAGTTTAGTTCATTGAGTTTTGAATCCATGTGATTTGGGATCATTTGAAATCTCCCCAAACAGGTAACAGAACTGGCCAGCCTCTGGCAGTACTTTTTGTATGGTTTTAGAGACATTATTTGGAGTGAGCCCTTGGCTGTCAGTTGTACAGGGATGTGCATCTGCTGGACCTGCAGAGGACTGATAACATGAGAAAAGAGGTTGCCCTGCTGCTAGGGATTGCAGGCTGCTTAAAGCTACCTGTAATCCCTTTGGAGAGAGAACTTATTTTAATTAAACTCTACAGGCATGAGGGAACATGTTGATATGCAAGGTGATTGGCTGATAAATGAGAAAACTGTACAGTTTAAAGAAGTTTCTCTATGTGATACAGAGATTTTGAGAGGAAGGACCTAGCTGAAAGTGTCAGTTAAAAGGTTTGCCCTGAGGAGCAAGTCTGAATGCTCGTCATGTGTGATGGTGTGAGCTTCTGTGGGAATTGGGGAGGGCTTCTGGAGCTGGAACAGACCAGCCCAAGAAACACTCACTCACAACAGTCTTGGTTCAGAAAGAGTCTCAGCTGAAACCTGGGCTGAGGGTAGAGTCAGCTCTGGCTGGCTCTGACAGGTGCTCTGTCTGTGGTTTTGGCTGAGTCTTTCCTGCTTTATTTTGGGGTTTCCATGTTGCTGGAGGCAGTGCCTGTTCTTGGCACAGGACTGAGCACCCCAGGAATCCTGCCTGTGTCTGCACTGGGGCATCCTGCACAGAACTGCAAAAGGGTCAGCACTGATTGGTACCAAAATAGGTTCTGGAAGGTGGAACCAAGGTGGAACCCATATTTCTGAGCAGCCATGGCCTGAGGGAGGTGAGGGGCTGCAGGGCACCTCCACTCTTACTTTGCAGGGGCTCTTGGTTCCTTATTGCTTTTGGCATTGCAGACTGGATAAAGATAGTTCTTTAGTGATAAGGTTTTACTTCCTATTTTAATTTGACTTTTGCTGGCTTTATGTCTAAACTCCAAACTAGAGCAGTAATGGAGCCATAATTTACTGTGCCACTGTGCTGCTTCCCTTTCATTACATCACAAGTCAAAGATCTGTGTCTCAGATGAATCCATTCTACTTCTAGAGAATATTTGGAGAAACTGCTGAAAAGAATTTATATCTATCTCAGCTGATTATCTTGGATACACTGGAAAAATGTCTGGCAGGGGTGAGTAGGCTTGCTTAAGTAATTCTAACTTGGAATCCAATGGGTTGGAGAATACAGGTCAAATGCTTGTGTGTCTGTTGTTACTGGTACTAGAAACTCATCACATTTAGAGCAAAATAGGATTAATGCCATTTAAGAATACTAAAACTTCCTATAAATGCAAGTAGTTGATGTGATTGATGCATTAATGATTTGGAGGGTGCTTTACATTGCCTAAAAGTAATGGAGTTTTTTCCTGTTAAAAGTAGCAGAGGATTCAGTACAAGTTTTTCATTTTGTGCTACTTAGTTCTCTGCATACAGGGCTGAGTTTTTTTGAAATTTCTTAGCTTTCATTTGTTGAAGTAATTTTCCATGTGCTTTTGTACAGAGCAGAAACTTTGCTGCCACAGCTCTGGAGATGATTTCTGCAGGTGTTTCCTAGATTACATTAGTTAAGCATGTCCAGATCTCCACTGGGAGTGCAGGCCTGAGCTTTCCAGTCAGAGCTGCTGCGAGGCAGTTTGCTGGTCCCTGTGGGAGCAGAGTGGTGCTGCTTGTACAGCTTACTGTGCTGGGCTGGAACTGCAAAGCCAAACTTCACTGAGAGCGAGATTTGCAGTGGTTTATTATTTTAACAAGAATGGAATTTTATTTTTAAGCTGTATTTGATTTCCAGCTTTTACAGCAGAGGAAAGCACCCCTTTTTGGCACTTTAGTCTTTGATGCATTGAGTCAAAAGAACAGTTTGAGTCAAAAACTCAGAATTTTAACTTCAGAATTTAGTTATTTTAAAATATTTTTACTATGCATAATGTTTGAAACAGTGGTTTTCAGGATAGATCATCATATTTAAATAGCCTAAAATTGTGCTGAATGTTTCTTGCTCTGTCACTTGAAATGAGAGCAGTTTGAGGCAGAATATGTTAAATCAGAGTGAGCCAAAGTTCTGTACAAAGCGTGTTGTGTTCTGTGGTATCTTCAGATGGATTTCTTGCTCAATGTTTCATCAAGTTCTCATGGCAACAGGACGCAGGTCAACTAAGTGGGAGTCTCTGAAACTTCCCAATTCCCTATGGAAAACTCGTTGGTAGAATTTTAGAAAGCTTTAGTACTGACCCTTCTGTTAAAACTTGCTCTTAGTAGAGCAAAGTTTCACTTTGAATTCTTCTGTAAATAGTTTCCTTATGTCTCACACTGTGCAAACTGGCAAAAATTAGATTTTTCTTTTGCAGGGAAATTAAGCCATTTTTGACTCGTATAGAGCAATTCCCAGCAAGAGCAGGGGAGAAGCACCTCTTTTTGGTTCATTTTTAATATAAAATACTCACTGTCAGAATATGGCCACCAAGCCCCTACCCAAGGGAAGTGAGGGTGGGCTTTGCCCTTTAGCCCTCAGCAGAGGCTGAGGCAGGCAGTGCTGTCCTGATCCTCACACAGAGCAGCAGGGCTCGTTCATCAGGGCAAGGTGTGTGCTGCTTCAGAGCCTGCCTTGATGTTTGCCTGGTGCTCAGTGGGACCCATCAGCCCAGTGTGCTCAGCTCAGTGGGATCCCTTAGCTCAGTGGGACCCATCAGCCCGGTGTGCTCAGCTCATTGGGATCCATCAGCCCGGTGTGCTCAGCACAATGGGATCCATCAGCTCAGTGGGATCCATCAGCCCGGTGTGCTCAGCTCAATGGGATCCATCAGCCCAGTGTGCTCAGCTCATTGGGATCCATCAGCCCGGTGTGCTCAGCTCAGTGGGATCCATCAGCTCAGTGGGATCCATCAGCCCGGTGTGCTCAGCTCAGTGGGATCCATCAGCCCGGTGTGCTCAGCTCATTGGGATCCATCAGCCCGGTGTGCTCAGCTCAGTGGGATCCATCAGCTCAGTGGGATCCATCAGCCCGGTGTGCTCAGCTCAGTGGGATCCATCAGCCCGGTGTGCTCAGCTCAGTGGGATCCATCAGCCCGGTGTGCTCAGCTCAGTGGGATCCATCAGCCCAGTGTCCTCAGCTCCTTGGGATCCATCAGCCCGGTGTGCTCAGCTCATTGGGATCCATCAGCCCAGTGTCCTCAGCTCAGTGGGATCCATCAGCCCGGTGTGCTCAGCTGCAGGCCTGGGGTGGTTTGGCTGTGCTGGGGCAGGAGCCTCTGTGCAGCTCGGGAGGGGGATCCAGGCTTTGCTTCCCGAGCAGCGTTCAGGGGATGCCGTCTGTCCACAGCAACCGAAGGACACCATGCGCCTGGACGAGACCATGCTGGTGAAGCAGCTGCTGCCCGAGATCTGCCACTTCATCCACACCTACCGCGAGGGCAACCAGCACGCGGCCGAGCTGCGCAGCTCCGCCTCGGGCGTGCTCTTCTCGCTCAGCTGCAACAACTTCAACGCCGTCTTCAGCCGCATCTCCACCAGGTACGGCCTCAGGCAACGGCCTGGGCAGGGACAGCATCTGCACTGCTGTGTGTGCAGGCAACCCCCTGGGCAGGGACAGCATCTGCACTGCTGTGTGTGCAGCCCTGTGGGCAGGGGCAGCATCTGCACTGCTGTGTGTGCAGGCAACGGCCTGGGCAGGGACAGCATCTGCACTGCTGTGTGTGCAGCCAGCCCTGTGGGGAGGGACAGCATCTGCACTGCTGTGTGTGCAGCCAGCCCTGTGGGGAGGGACAGCATCTGCACTGCTGTGTGTGCAGCCAGCCCTGTGGGGAGGGACAGCATCTGCACTGCTGTGTGTGCAGGCAACGGCCTGGGCAGGGACAGCATCTGCACTGCTGTGTGTGCAGGCAACGGCCTGGGCAGGGACAGCATCTGCACTGCTGTGTGTGCAGGCAACCCCCTGGGCAGGGACAGCATCTGCACTGCTGTGTGTGCAGGCAACGGCCTGGGCAGGGACAGCATCTGCACTGCTGTGTGTGCAGCCAGCCCTGTGGGGAGGGACAGCATCTGCACTGCTGTGTGTGCAGGACTGGGCAGGGACAGCATCTGCACTGCTGTGTGTGCAGGCCTGGGCAGGGACAGCATCTGCACTGCTGTGTGTGCAGGATTGGGGAGGGACAGCATCTGCACTGCTGTGTGTGCAGGACTGGGGAGGGACAGCATCTGCACTGCTGTGTGTGCAGGATTGGGGAGGGACAGCATCTGCACTGCTGTGTGTGCAGCCCTGGGCAGGGACAGCATCTGCACTGCTGTGTGTGCAGGATTGGGGAGGGACAGCATCTGCACTGCTGTGTGTGCAGGATTGGGGAGGGACAGCATCTGCACTGCTGTGTGTGCAGGCCTGGGGAGGGACAGCATCTGCACTGCTGTGTGTGCAGCCAGCCCTGGGCAGGGGCAGCATCTGCACTGCTGTGTGTGCAGGCCTGGGGAGGGACAGCATCTGCACTGCTGTGTGTGCAGGCAACCCCCTGGGCAGGGACAGCATCTGCACTGCTGTGTGTGCAGCCAGCCCTGGGCAGGGGCAGCATCTGCACTGCTGTGTGTGCAGGCAACCCCCTGGGCAGGGACAGCATCTGCACTGCTGTGTGTGCAGGCCTGTGGGGAGGGACAGCATCTGCACTGCTGTGTGTGCAGCCCTGGGCAGGGACAGCATCTGCAGCCTCTGTCTGCCACCAGCTGTTCAGAGGAGCCAATGTTTTAAATGCTCTTTAATGGGGTAGTTCTCAAGTGGAATGCCCTCAGCCTTTCACTGGGCAGAGTAAAAGGTTTACTTGGGTTTCAGGTTATGAAATGAACCCATTTCAACCCCATCCTGGGTTACTGCTGGCTGCATTTATTGCTTTTTTTAGTCTGCTTTCAAAAGTACCACTGAAAATAGTGAGTGAAGATAATGCAGCAGAAGTTGAGTAAGTTATTGTGGGTGCAAGGTGTCTTGGAAAAAAAAGAATGCTGAAGCTAATGGTTGTATCCATTTACTTACAAATTTAGAATGAAAACTGGTGATTGTCCACAGCTCTGCTGGAACCCCATGGTTGTTTTCCTGCTAGGAAGCTTTTATGTTAAATCTGTCTTATGCCTGAAGGGGACAAACAGCTGGGCTGTTTGTTAGTTGTTGGGAAAGACCCATTTGTCTTCTGATTTGAGTTTCACAGCACATCTACTGTAAAAATAACTGGATTTTCTGCTTTTCTAAGTAAGAAGGGAGACAGGCCCAAATTTTCCATCTATTGTCTCTTTTTGCTCTGTTCCAGATCCTTCTGATGCTTCAGCATTTGTCAGTCCACTAGAGTGGTGTGCTAAGCTTTTTATTTCTGAAATACTTTGATGTTTTTTGAAAGGTGCTTGAAGTGGCTTAGCTCTTGTCACACAGTGTTACAGTTAACATCATTCTTGATTTATTAGAAATAGAGCTTGGGCATCCTTACATGGTCACATAGCAATGAGTGAGCCAATTTAATTGAAGCAAAGATTTATATTTTCCTCATATATTTATATATTTCTTTGGAAAATGTTTGTGTTTTAGAATTCAGTCTAAAATGATTGAGTAATTTGAAATTTAAAGTATTTTCTACGTTGTTACAGAACCTTTAATAACTTCTATTTCAAGAACATAGACTTGGCAGCTAGCATGGGGGATGTGGTTTTACTCTATAGGTTGATAGTGTTTTGTTGCTTATGGAAATGGAAAGAATTTCTATTGCTCCTTTTACTGAAGCATTTTTTGGTTGAAATTTTTTGAGAATCTTTGAATCTGGTGGCTGGATCTGTGTGTATTTGTATTTGCCTGTAGCATGGTTTGTTCCCCTGCTCCAAAGCCCCCCTCAGCATCCCTTGAGCTGGAGCAGGGTGCTTTTCCCCTAACCTGTTTCCCTTGCAGATGGCTTGTACAGCAACAGTTAAATGTTTGACCAGTTGTTGCTGGTCTCCACAGGGGTCAGCCTGCTGCCAGTCAGCACTGCTGATCCCTGACCTGGGTTTCCTGTTTAGCCATATTTCTGGGCCTTGCACAGCAGCTGGGGGATTTTTGGCATGAAAAGCACAGCAGTGGGGACCTTCCCATTCCCAGCCAGGGCTGTTAAGTTTCCCTGGTGCTGAAGACATGAAGAACTGCTTTTGTGTCTAGTACTAGAAACCACATTCCATGTCTGAAACACATCTGTAGCCTTGGAAGGAGCCGTGGCAGTCCCCAGTTTGTGGAACAGATGCTGCAGTGATCAGTGGCTTGGTGCCTGGGAGATGCTGAGTAAATTCTCTGAGACAGCAGTGTAAAGATGCTGTTATGTTTAAACTGGTGTGATTAAACTTCATCCTGTGTGCTCAGGCCAGAGAAATGTGGAGCAAGAATGGCTGTAGCTCACTGCAGTGGTGTCCAGTAGCAGCATCAGCCCCTGGTGTGCTCTGATCTTACCTGGGCAGGACCTGCTGGCAGCGAGCAGTAGCCTGAAGGTGTCAGGAGTCCAGGACCTCATGTTTAGTTGAGAGGGTGACAAGGTCACTGCCACAGGAGGGTGGATAACAGGAGCATTTAGGCAAATCTTGGGCACAGTCAATCCACAGAAGGTACTGGCATCTTGGAAGATCATCACTGGCTTTCAGTATGAGGATGGCACCAGACTGTAATATTAAGTCTTAATCATGCAAGATCTTTTATTTCTAGATCTGGAAATGTTCATCTGAGATGATGGAGCATTCTCCTGCTATTGAAATGTATAATCTCACAGGTGTGTTCGTACCTGTCTGGCAGGATCTGATGGAAAAGTTTGTTTACTTTGTGTATTTTTAGATTGCAGGAACTGACTGTTTGTTCAGAAGATAATGCTGATGTTCATGATATTGAACTTTTACAGTACATCAGTGTGGATTGTTCAAAACTCAAGCGACTCTTGCAAGGTATGATCTGAGCCTGTGTTTTGAAATATTTCTATTTTAATCTGGTTAGTCAGAGATGACACAGTGGAATTGATATATCTGGGTTTATTGCTCTGTTTTACTCCAAGCAGTCATGTATTTACTGAAGTATTTAAGAGTAGTTAAGTACTATTAAAACATTGATTTGAAAATTGCTTTGTGCTTCAAATATCTTGTATAAGCTGTGTTGTTTTTAGAACAAGTTTCTGTTCTAAATGCAGAAATGTTTTATCTTTACAGAGACTGTATTCAAGTTTAAAGCTCTAAAGAAAGTAGCTCAGTTAGCTGTTATCAACAGCCTTGAGAAGGTAAGTGTTCAGTACTTCTGTTTCATTGCTTATTTGTAGACTTTCTTCTAGTTTAGGAATAGTTGAAATTCAGTAATTTATTATAAAATAAAAATGGCTGCCTCCCTTTGATGCAAATATGTTTTGCAAGAAATTTTGAGTGATTAGAATTAAGAATAAAACCTCTCTTTGTTTAAATGTGTAATTCAGTAAAATTGTTGAAGCTCTGGATTGTGAAGGTGTTTCCCATTATCTGCAGGCATTTTGGAACTGGGTGGAAAACTATCCTGATGAATTCACCAAGCTGTACCAAACCCCCCAGACTGACATGGCTGGTAAGGCATAACACATGACAGTGTTCAAGGCTGGTTTCTCAGATATCACCAAATGCATTCCCTTGCATTTTGTGCCCTCTTTGCTCCTTGTGCAGCCTGCAAATAAACAAATTTCTGTCAGCCTTTGTCAGGGCAGGCAAGAGTATGTTCCTGTCTGTTTTCTTTCCTGACTCCCCTCTTAAAAGAGATTCATTTTGTGCTTCACACCACAAAGAAATAAACCCCAAAAGATGGAGACTCTTTAAATTTATATTTTTCATCTTGATACAGGGTAAAACTTAGAGAACATCACCTTTACTTGTCTCTAGTGAAAAAGAGAGGAGAATTTATATTTTCAGGTAAACTATGTCTTTAACTGGGTTGAGACCATTTGATCCCCAGTAGCATGTCAGTATTGTGCAGACCAGAACTTTCCTTCTGTGTAGGTGGAACTATCCCTCTGCTCTTTTATACCTGTTCTTTACCTCTTCATAGTTAAAACTGGTGTTGGACTTGGGCTTATGTTTTATGCAGATTGTGCTGAGAAGTTGTTTGATTTAGTGGATGGCTTTGCTGAAAGCACGAAACGTAAAGCAGCGGTGTGGCCACTGCAGATCATCCTCCTGGTCCTGTGTCCAGAGATAATCCAAGATATAGCAAAGGATGTGGTAGAGGAAACTAAAATGAACAAGGTAAGAGAATGAATTCTGGCTCTGGTTTTTAGAGTTGGCTTGATTTTGCTGATTCTGTATTTCAGGGATGTTTAATTTTGTCTTTCCTCCTTCAAGAGCACATTGCAATTCCATATGTAAATTTATGCACACTTTTTAAGTTCTCACCTTACATACGTTCTTTTACTGTCAGTAATTCATACAGGTAGTATGTCCCAAACAACGTTATTTCAGACCTTTCCACTTCCTTGGAGATGTGAATCTCTGTGCTGTGATTTCCTCTGCCTTCACCTGCAGCAAATGGCTGTGCTGAGGTTCTGGGGTCTGCAGGGGCTGTGAGCCCCACAGGTTCAGCACCTGCTGGGTTTGATGTGGCTGCAGCACGAGGGCTGAGAGTGCACAACCACTTCTTGTGCCATTCTGATTGCCCCAGCTCTGTCAAAGGGAATGTCTTTAATAATGACAGGATTTCTCCAGGCTGCTGCATCCAGTGGGTTTTTGCCATCACAGTGTCAGGTTGTAACTATCCCTGCTCTGAATTCTGCAGAAGCTGTTCCTGGACAATCTCAGGAAGGCCCTGGCAGGACACAGTGGGAGCAGGCAGCTGACTGAAAGTGCTGCTATTGCTTGTGTTAAACTGTGCAAAGCATCTACGTACATCAACTGGGAAGATAATTCTGTCATTTTCCTGCTAGTGCAGTCCATGGTAGTAGATCTTAAGGTAAGAAAGTCTATTTCCTAATTGCGGTGAAGAAATTTGAAATAATGAAGTTAATTTTGAATTTCTTAATTGAATACCAGTGGTTTTCAATGGGAAGTTTTGTATTAAAAGTAGCCAAGAATAATAATGGTATCTGATTTATATCTTTATATTTTTCTGAATTATATAGAATTTGCTGTTTAACCCAAGCAAACCTTTTTCAAGAGGCAATCAGAATGCAGATGTAGACCTGATGATTGACTGCTTGGTTTCCTGCTTCCGCATAAATCCTCACAATAACCAACACTTCAAGGTAAGAACACTGCTTATGGTAAGTCATTCTCTACATACTATTGACAATCTGTCAGTTATAAAAGCTGTGCTAACAGCAGCTTGAAGCTCATAAATGAGTTCAACTGTATAAATATCCCTTAGTAATAAATCCCTGCATGTTTTGATAAATCTTTTCACAGCTGATTAGGCTTCTCTTGTTCAGATTTGACAGCTTTGTCAATTTAATAAAAAGGCTCCAGAATGTTTTTCAGGATGATAAGAAAGATGGCAAAGACAAAGATATTCCTAAGTGGCTTTTATGTATTTTTATTGTAGATCTGCTTGGCACAGAATTCCCCATCAACATTTCATTATGTGCTGGTAAATTCACTCCACCGAATCATCACAAACGTAAGTTCTGGCAGTATTTCATCAGCCCAGTGTCTGGGGCTTCTGTTCAGATCAATATCTGCTTAGTAAATACCATGTGGATAGCAAGCTAGATCTTGTGAGTGCAGAACATCTTGGGGTTGGTGCCTGTTGAGGAGGCAGACTGTTGTAGTGAGCAGCTGGGTTGGAATCGTTGCTTCAGTTGCAGCCTGTTTGAAGGTTACAGGTTTGATAATGGGCATGCAGGGTGACTGGGCATACTGGTACAGCGTACAGAGAATGTGGGGTGAGGGTTGGGCACGCTTGGCCTCGGTGGCCCCAGAGCTGTGGCTCGGGGTCAGTGCTGCCCTTGCCTTGCAGTCGGCACTGGACTGGTGGCCGCGGATCGACGCCGTGTACTGCCACGCCGTGGAGCTGCGCAGCATGTTCAGCGACACGCTGCACCGCGCCATGCAGGGCTGCGGGGCACACCCTGCCATCCGCATGACCCCGGTAAGCCTGGGGCATCCAGCCCTGCCTGGGGCAGCCGGCCCTGCCTGGGGCAGCCGGCCCTGCCTGGGGCAGCCAGCCCTGCCTGGGGCAGCCAGACCTAGGGCACCCAGCCCTGCCTGGGCAGCCAGACCTAGGGCACCCAGCCCTGCCTGGGGCACCTGGCCCTGCCTGGGGCAGCCAGCCCTAGGGCAGCCGGCCCTGCCTGGGGCACCTGGCCCTGCTGGGGCACCCAGCCCTAGGGCACCTGGCCCTGCCTGGGTAGCCAGCCCTGCCTGGGGCAGCCAGCCCTGCCTGGGGCACCCAGCCCTAGGGCAGCCGGCCCTGCCTGGGGCAGCCGGCCCTGCCTGGGGCACCCAGGACACCCGGCCCTGCCTGGGGCACCCAGCCCTGCCCTCCTCTTCAGCGCCTTGCACTGGACACCAGAGAGGGGAAGAACAGAGCAGCAGGGTGCCACATGTGCTCTGTAGCCCTGCAGTGTTGGGGGATTGGCTGTTCCTAGTTCAATGTCTCTCGGTTTTCCTGGTGCTTTTAAACTGGCTACATACAAGTATTTGTCCTCTAGCTGTCCTCTGTGGCTAACTGTCCATTTTAAGCTTTCTGGCTCTGTGAATAGCCAGCTTACATGTCCATCCTTGCTTAATGTGAAAAACCAAAGCATTCTGTATGTGAAGACAATCACTGAAAACTGTGATACTTTTACCATGATTGGCATCTTCATTTGTCTTGCTTTATGTTGAGCAAGTTGACTGTTTGGTCTTGGTGACAGCAACAAAGTAAAAGATTTTTCAACCATTATTAAATAAAGTTAATATTCTTGGCTGTCTTGGAGAAAGTCTTGAGTAAATTCAGACTTGTAGTTCGTCCAAATTCTTCCAGTAAGTCCACACACAGCTGTGTTGCTGCATTCTCCTCTGAATATTCCTTGAGGACTTCTGCTGTGGCAAGTGGTCTTGGTAGGTTGGTTTAGAGAGCCTAAAATGAGATATAAAAATATTCCTGTTGGGCTTCTCAAAGGAGAGCAAATGAGCACAATGCTTTTGGTTGAAAGCTACTCCATGTTTAACTTGCTTTTCACCTGTGTGTATTCATCTGTTGGAGAATAGTTGCCCTGACAATACCCCTGCTCTGACTGGTGGTGCTTTGTCTTCTGCTTCTCACTTTCCCTCTGCCTGGCTGCTGTTGCCCACGTGCTCAGATGCCCGCCAGCCCCTGCTTTGCATGGCCCTGGGCCTCTGCTGCTGTAAGTATGACCCGTAACTACCGCAGAAAAGCCCTTCCTTGCGCTGACTTTTCTGTGCATAGTTACCCGCAGAGCCCGCCAGCCCCGGCAGCGCCAGTGGAGCTGCTTCCCCCAGGAAGGCACCGTTGGCTCTTGCCCCGTGCCCTGCTCTGCTTTAGAGCTGGTTCCTGATTTCCAGCCTGAACTCACTGATGCTCCATGACTCCCCCATGTCTGTCCTTGTCCAGTGCTGTCTGTCAGCGTCGCGCTGCTGTTGGTCCCTCCTCGGTGCACTGCACAGGCCTGGCCTGGCTCTCTCACTGACACTCTTTACTTTGGATTGTGTGGAGGCAATAAGTGATTTCACAGAAACACATCTCCTTCTGCCACGTGCCCCTCCTAGAAATCCTGAGCTGTGGCAAACTCAGGCTTAGTGCAGAGTTAGGTGCCTCTACCACTGTGCTATCGATTTCTTGATCAGATGCTTTATGTGGTAGGTTTTATTCCATATATTGCACAATAACTAATTATTGAAATAACATGAAGACCTAATTTCCTGTAGAAGTTAATCATACCATGTCATAGCTCATCATTTACCTTGAAGGTGATTTCAAACTAGGCTTTCTCCTTTTGTTCAAAACTTACAAGGAGTTCACTGGTTTTTCAGCTGAAGGCAGATTATTTTTATATTTAAGTGATGCCTTGTGTGCCTTTTAGAATTGAAAGGTTCATTTTCCAGAGGCTGTTGAGGTGAACATGCAGGCATCTGGCCTGGGGCTGTAGCAGAAAATAAAGACATTACTTTGCCTATAGAAAGAATTCCCTCTCATGTACTGAGAACAAGTTGGAAACATTTATTTTTATTTCTGTCTCAGACCAGAGAAATAACCAGTAATTCTTTTTGGTCCTTTTTCCGCTTTTCTTTTGCCACAGTTTGTGTCTTTTGCAAAAAATTTTCCTATGTCCACATGCAGCTTACTGAACCAATTGTTAAGGGAACTTTAAAGATACAGTAGTGATTGCCTGTGAGAGGGGATTTTGAACTAGAAGGCTATGTGACTTTACTTGAGTTTTGTATACTTTTAAACTTTTTCTTGAATTATAGATGATAAAAGCAATACATTTCACAAGATGTTTAATTATAACTGTTATGTTTGACTACTTTCCTGATGAAGACTGTGATTTTTTTTTTTCCTTCTATCAGAGCCTTACATTTAAGGAGAAAATGACTAGCCTTAAATTTAAAGAAAAACCTACTGATTTGGAAACCAGAAGCTACAAGTTCTTGCTGCTGTCCTTGGTGAAACTGATCCATGCAGATCCAAAGCTTTTGCTATGTGTAAGTAAATCCTACTGTCATACTGTTCAGTCAGAGTGGAATTTACTTTTGAAGCTACCAAATGAGTAAAAATTAATGGTCACCTGACCATCTAGGACACTTCCTACTCATCTTTTTCTCTGGCTATGATGCTCCTGTGATTTTAAAGGAAAAAGATACTAAGAGACTTTACAGAATCAGAGCAACACAATGAGGGGGAGCATGAAGTTCTGTGACTCTGAAGGGGAAGGTGGGGGAAGGAGAGGGGAATAGAAGAAAATTAAAATAAGGGGGTTGGAAATTAGTCATCATTTCAATGAGTACTGTCTTAGATCTTCCATTTTCTCAGGCCTGTGATGGTTTAATACAAAAATATTCCAGTTCTGTCAGAGACATGATATGCAAGGCGTGTTACGGATTAAAAATAAAACGAGAGATTCTCTGAAAGATCCCCAGATCCCCCTAGTTCAGCAGCAGGAGTGCTGCAGGAGCTGTCAGTAGTGTGGTCAAGCAAGGGAAGGCTTTGCAGCTGAGCCTGTGTTGTGTGTTTCCATGCAGAACCCCAGGAAGCAGGGCCCCGACTCGCAGGGCAGCACGGCCGAGCTGATCACGGGGCTGGTGCAGCTGGTGCCGCAGTCCAGCATGCCCGACATCGCCCAGGAGGCCATGGAGGTGAGGGCCACAGCCCGGGGCTGCTGCTGCCACAGCCCCTCCTGCAACACAGAGTCTGTATCTGTGTGTGTGTGCAGCATGGCTTTGGGCAGAAATACCAGGGAAAACCTCTGGCTCTGCAGTATGAGCGTGGAGTAAAGACTAAAGTGAAATGCTGTTGACACCAAGTAGCAATGAACTCTTGCTGTTCTATGGAAAATGCTTTTTATATCTTTTGTTGTTCTTAAAGCAGTTAATGAATATGTGACTGCACCTGTTTCTCTGCCTGGGCTCAGGTACTCTGTAAAGTTCTGTCTTTAAGTGAAACTCTCTTTGGCTTTAGGCCTTGCTGGTTCTGCACCAGTTGGACAGCATTGACTTGTGGAATCCCGATGCTCCTATAGAAACATTCTGGGAGATCAGGTATGTAAATTAATATATAAATGTCAGAAATAGCTGTTTTGATTTGTCTTCTCTTGAAATAGCTGTGAGTATTTTGGGAAAGCTTTGCAACAACAGAGAGTTCACGGTCTCTTTGGGCGGGGGGAAAACCCATCACACTTGACACTAATTTGGACCCTTTGGCAGTTTTAACAGAGAGTGTGAGGCCTGACGGGATGTGAAGAAGGAACATCCCTAGATGTGTTCCTTCCAGAGCAGAGTTGACACGTTGTCAGAGCAGTGTAGGTAACTCGTGCTGCCCTGTCTGTGCTGTCTCTGTCCCGGGCAGAGCTGGAGCTCCAGGCCGGGCTGCCCGCGGGGCTTCAGCTGCTCCAGGCCGCGGGCGCTGGGAAGGGTCCCAGGGGAGCTTGGCCTGTCCATGCACACTCTCACCTCTCTGTTGTACTGCTGGAAGCCCAGGGTAGTGTTTGCACAGGGTGTTCATGCTAAGTGCCTATTTCTATGTGAAATGTAGTGTAATACCTTCAGAAGTGTTGGTGTTCCATCAGAAGGCTGATGCTGAATTTCGTTTTACTGCAGTTCACAAATGCTTTTTTATATCTGCAAGAAGCTCACAAGTCATCAGATGCTCAGCAGTACAGAAATCCTCAAGTGGCTGCGAGAGATTCTCATCTGTAGGAATAAATTTCTGCTAAAAAACAAAGTAAGTGAACATTACCATCTCCCTGTTAGGATCATTAACATGAATTGTTCTCTGTTGGTGTCACTTCCTTTATTTACCAGGTTATTTTTGATTGGAAGAGATTTGGTAGCTACTCCTACATGTTCTGTTGTCTGATTTCCTCTCTGCTTTGTGAGGCACCTTGGTTAGAATTGGTACCTAAAGTTAGGTTTGGGATTTTTTTTTCCCTTTAGCTGCACAGGTTGCTCTACTTGCCTAGAAAATGAATGTTTCACATGTGCCTTGTGCCTCTTTGCTTAATACAGGGAAATAGTCCTCAAGGTGAGAGAAAGGGAAGGTAGTTAATGGTAAAATACACATGCTTATGGATGGAGGAAGTTGCCTTTTGGGTCTCAGGTTCTTCTAAGTCCCAGAATTCTGACTTGCTTCTTTCTGATTTTCTTAAAGTATCAAATAATGTATTTCTTAGGAGGAAATATCAGTCTAGGATACCATTAACACAAGGAACTTGATAACACCCTGAGTGCAGCAGTGGAAAAAGTACTGTGTAAATGTCCAAGAGCTTTTTGCCTTCCTCAGATCTATGTCTTTTACTCTTTTAAAGTATCAATTGATAGATTCTTTTCCTCCCCTCTCTTTATAGCAATCAGACAGGAGTTCCTGCCACTTCCTTTTCCTTTATGATGTCTCTGGAAGTGGAACTAGTCAAATTTCTCTTGACCATGAGGAAATGATGCGCTGTGCACCAGGGGCTACCCTGAGGAAAGCGAAGGGGAATTCTTCCATAGTAAGTAATACATGCTGATAGTTCATTTTAACACTTGAGAAAAACCCTGTGGGCAAGTAGAAATTAAATTACTTTTAGAGTTAATGTGCTGGTTAACGATGATGTTTCAGACTTTACAAAGTAACATTTTTTCAGTTAAAACGTTGGTGGATATTTTTTGATTAAGATTGCAAACAGCATTGTGACAGCATATATGAGCTCTGATCCTTTTTAGGATGGCTTATTCCTACTAGAACAAAAGCAGTTTCAAACCCAGTTTGGCCAGGGCTGAATTGTCACAAGCAATGTTCCCCAACTATTAATTGTGTTTCCCAGGAGAGCACTGCAGGCTGCAGCGGAACCCCCATCTGCCGCCAGGCCCAGACCAAGCTGGAAGTGGCCTTGTACATGTTCCTGTGGAGCCCAGACATCGAGGCTGTCCTGGTGGCCATGTCCTGCTTCCGTCACCTCTGTGAGGAGGCCGACATCAGATGTGGAGTAGATGAGGTCTCAGTGCATAATTTTTTGCCAAACTACAACACTTTCATGGAGTTTGCATCTGTGAGCAACATGATGTCAACAGGTAAGAGTCATGAGTCAGTTAAAGTAATTTTGTACCTGGACAAAAGACTGTTACTTGTGTTTGAGTTCTTTAAACAGGTCGAGGTTCTTGATTTCATGCTGCTCTGGCTTTTCCTGGAATGTCTTAAGTTATTAGAATTTCTAGAAAGTGTAAGGAATTTGGGTGACTGAGCTCAGGAGGATTTTACAATTGTGTAACAAGAAGCTACCTTTCTGAAGACTTTTAGGGGGTTATGTTCCTCTTAATTCAATAATTACTTTCAAAGATCACAAATTTGATGTAGGTGGATTTTCAAAAATTTGGTTCAATGTTCTGTGCCCTTTGCAGGGAGAGCAGCTCTTCAGAAGAGAGTGATGGCGTTATTGAGGCGCATTGAACACCCCACTGCAGGCAACACAGAGGTGAGCTAACTTCTCACTTCACATGCTCTGTGTGCACATTAAAAGAACAAACACAGAAATATTGTTGCTACAAGTAGTTTTGAAGTTAAATCTTGATATATCTTATCTTCTTTCAGGCCTGGGAGGATACACATGCAAAATGGGAACAAGCTACAAAACTAATCCTTAACTATCCAAAGACCAAAATGGAAGATGGGCAGGTGACTATGAATTTTTCCATTGGTTCAACATTTTGAAATTCAAAACAAGTCTTTAGGCTTACGTATTTTAAGGCATTTGAGTTCTAACTCAACGAACGACCTCTGTGCCCAGGTGACCGAGAGCCTGCACAAGACGATCGTGAAGCGGCGGATGTCGCACGTCAGCGGCGGCGGCTCCATCGACCTGTCGGACACGGAGTCGCTGCAGGAGTGGATCAACATGACGGGGTTCCTGTGTGCCCTGGGCGGGGTGTGCCTGCAGCACCGCAGCAGCGCGGGGCTGGCCACCTACAGCCCCCCCATGGGCCCCCTCAACGAGCGCAAGGGCTCCATGATCTCCATGGTCTCCACCGAGGGCAGCGTGGAGACCCCGGTCAGCAAATTCATCGACCGCCTGCTCACGCTCATGGTCTGCAACCACGAGAAGGTGGGGCTGCAGATCCGCACCAACATCAAAGACCTGGTGGGGCTGGAGCTCAGTCCAGCGCTCTATCCCATGCTCTTCAACAAACTGAAGAATACCATCAGCAAGTTCTTTGATTCTCAAGGACAGGTGATTCACAGTTGTGTGATATTATTCACATTTGTGTCAGTCCTGTCTTTCCCCTGGGTGATGAAATGGATCCCTGTTTGTGTTATGTGTACAGCCCCTGTGAGCAGAGTGATCATCACAGCACATGTTAATGATTATTGTGGTTGTGATTCCAGGCTGTATTTAACATTCTTGAGTAGTGAACTCTTGAGTGCAGAATCTGTGAGATTCTTTGTGGAATCCTTATGGCTGGCAGTGTTCACATATTGAATTGTGACATGTACTGGAATTCTGTTGGCTTGGTGGTAACTAGAAAAATGCTTGTCCATGAGATTTTTGAAATCTTGCAGTATATTTGGCAAATACCCTCTCTTTGGTTTTATGTGTTAAAAATTAACCAGAAATTTTCATCCTGTAGGTCTTGTTAACTGACACCAACACACAATTTGTAGAGCAAACCATTGCTATAATGAAGAATTTGCTTGACAATCACACAGAAGGGAGCTCAGAACACCTTGGCCAAGCGAGCATTGAGACAATGATGCTGAATCTGGTTAGGTAAGGAGCCCTCTTGACCTTCCTATACACAGGCATTATGTTTTAGAAGTGAGTTGGAGCCTTCTAGTTTATATCTTTCCTGCTTGTGTCCATGGAGAAGCAGCAGCTGATTTTCTGCTCCTCCTTATGGTTCTGACAGCTTCAGTAATTGTGGAAGTTGTGTAGCATAAAGTGCATTGCTGACGAGTGACTGTTTTGTTTTAAAGACCTGACCATTCCATAGCTTGGCCCTACTGCCATAGGCATTCCTGGTTACTTTTCTGTACATTGATGTTAGTGGTTAAAAACCAGCTGAAGGGCAGATTTCTGTTTCAGTTTTACACTGATAGAAAATTTTGGCCAGAAGAAATTTGCTGCTGATGCAGAGGATTACTTGGGGCAGAGGAGTGAAGTAGCATCAAGTATTTAATTAATCCTTTTTGCTTTTTTCTTCAGGTACGTGCGTGTGCTTGGAAATCTGGTACATGCCATTCAAATAAAAACAAAGCTCTGTCAGTTGGTAGAAGTAATGATGGAGAGGAGAGATGACCTTTCATTTTGTCAAGAAATGAAATTTAGGTAAGAATGGCATTACCTAACTGGTAGGGTAGAGTACTGTGGGCAAGTGTAGTTTTCTCTGGTTAGGTGGTTAAAAAAGAAATCAAAGCCCTGTCACAGCAGTGTTCCTGCTGCAGGGAGAGCTCCCTTGTCTGTCTTCAGAATGATTATGAGCCTGGTGCTGCATCTAAGTATTACTTAGTTTGTGGTGATAGTGAACACTTGTAACAATTTAATGTGTGATACAGACTGGTGGAAAAACCCCAACAAAGCTTAAACAATCTATTTATGTGTAACAGGAACAAAATGGTGGAATATTTGACAGACTGGGTAATGGGAACATCTAATCAAGCAACAGATGAGGATGTGAAATGCTTGACAAGGTAAGGGGCACTCTTCACTGTAACAGCATTTGATTGCAGGTAGAGCTATAAGTAAAAGTGACTTGTATTTGTTACATTTTATTTTTCAGAGATTTGGACCAGGCAAGTATGGAAGCAGTGGTCTCTCTTCTTGCTGGGCTTCCACTCCAGCCTGAAGAAGGAGATGGTGTTGAGTTGATGGAAGCAAAATCTCAATTATTTCTCAAGTAAATAGTGACTTTTAACTGTTTCTCTATACAATCACTCTGAAGAGAAGCCCTATATGACCTTTATTACAAACTATGCTTTTCTTCCAGCAGAAATAATTTTATTATCCCAAGAGGAATTACCTCTTTGGCCTATTTAAAAATCTCTGCTTTGTAGGTTTATGGAAACATTTTCATTTAAAAAATAACTAGAAAATTTGGCTTTGTTTCTGCTTAATGCAGGTGTGTGTTTCAGTCATGGCAAGGATTAGCTCGGTTTGATACTGTATTTTATTTATTTTTATCCACAAAACTTAAACTCTCTTTGAAGAGATTTATTGATAGAGGCACACCAGTGTTGGGGAGAATGGGCACACCAGGTTTGGGACAAAGGGAGGTTGTTGGAGCACAGTTAAGGTTTGGGCTGTGCCATGAGGAGGCTCCTTGGGGCAGGGTGAGGTTTTGGGCAGGTTTGTTGTGTGATTGCTGCTGTGGGTGAGGTTTTGGGGGGGGTTTGTTACGTGTTGGCTCCCATGGGTGAGGATTTGGGGGGTCATTGTGCCTTGGCTGCCATGGGTGAGGTTTGGGATGTTGGTTGTGCCTTGGCTGCCATGGTTGAGCTTTGGGAGGTTGGTTGTGCTCTGGCTCCCATGGGTGAGCTTTGGGAGGTTGGTTGTGCCTTGGCTGCCATGGGTGAGGATTTTGAGGGGTCGTTGTGCCTTGGCTGCCATGGGTGAGCTTTGGGAGGTTGGTTGTGCGTTGGCTCCCATGAGTGAGGATTTGGGGGTTGTTGTGCCTTGGCTCCCATGAGTGAGCTTTGGGAGGTTGGTTGTGCCTTGGCTGCCATGGATGAGCTTTGGGAGGTTGGTTGTGCTCTGGCTCCCATGAGTGAGCTTTGGGAGGTTGGTTGTGCACTGGCTCCCATGAGTGAGCTTTGGGAGGTTGGTTGTGCCTTGGCTCCCATGGGTGAGGATTTTGAGGGATCATTGTGCCTTGGCTGCCATGAGTGAGCTTTGGGAGGTTGGTTGTGCTCTGGCTCCCATGGGTGAGCTTTGGGAGGTTGGTTGTGCCTTGGCTGCCATGAGTGAGCTTTGGGAGGTTGGTTGTGCTCTGGCTCCCGGCACAGGGCACACGTGACCCTGAGGCCTGTCCCCAGGTACTTCACGCTGTTCATGAACCTGCTGAACGACTGCAGCGAGGCGGAGGAGGAGGGCGCGGCGGCGGGCGGGCGCAAGCGCGGCATGTCGCGCCGGCTGGCGTCGCTGCGGCACTGCACCGTGCTGGCCATGTCCAACCTGCTCAACGCCAACGTGGACAGCGGCCTCATGCACTCCATAGGTAACGCCCCACCCGCCTGCTGCCCACCCCCTGCTCCTGCATCCCCCTCACTGCTGCTGGCTCTCTCCCCCAGGCTTGGGCTATCACAAAGACCTCCAGACCAGAGCCACCTTTATGGAAGTCCTCACCAAGATCCTGCAGCAGGGGACGGAGTTCGATACCTTGGCAGAAACAGTGCTAGCAGATCGCTTTGAGAGATTGGTGGAGCTGGTTACAATGATGGGTGACCAGGGGGAGCTTCCTATTGCTATGGCTTTAGCCAATGTGGTGCCTTGCTCTCAGTGGGTAAGTTAGTTTTATTTCCTACATTTTGTCATAATAATAATAAGGCGTGAAATAAAAAGTGCCACAACAGTCTGGTACAGAGAGAATAGAGCTGCCACTGACACTAGCTAGCCTTTCTTTGTGTGTTCTTAAAAATGTACTGAATCTAAGTTCAGATCTTGGATTTTAGTTAATGTCTAGGAACGATTTATATACAGTTATATTAATAAATGCATCTGGGCTGGCTATTTATTACAGGTGGTGTGTGCTGTGATGCAGACACACAGAATTGTATTTGCTCTTCTAGGTTTTAGCAAGATGAGTTGGGCTTTGTTACACAGCAGAGTAACTGCTTGTCTGTCTGGATAACCATTATGAACTTGTAGGGCTGGATATCCTGAGGCCGATTTTTAGACAAGCAGTAGCATAGGAAACATTTACAGAGAGATTGTTTTTGTGTAATTTGATATTTACCTGCCAGAGCCCATAGCAGACATAAAGCTTTATTGCCAACTGCTGGGTGGTTTTGTCATGGTGCTGGGGTTTCATACTTGCCTTGGCTCCCTGCGAGTCAGATTAACCCTTCCTCCTCCCTTTAAGGATGAGCTGGCTCGTGTCCTGGTCACACTCTTTGATTCCCGGCACCTGCTCTACCAGCTCCTCTGGAATATGTTCTCAAAGGAGGTCGAGTTGGCAGACTCCATGCAGACACTCTTCCGAGGAAACAGCTTAGCCAGTAAAATAATGACTTTCTGTTTTAAGGTACATAATCTCTTTTTTTTTTTCCCTCTGGTACAGATGTCTTCAACAGCAGGAAAAGTTTAGTAATATGAAAATACAAAGCTGCTTGTCTGTGGGGTTAAGCACTTGAGTAATGGGATTACATTAGATACAGGCCATACAGATTTGGATCTCAGTTTGAGTTAGTCTCAGCTAACTTAAGTTAGTTTAAGGAGTTAAGTTTAGGGAGTTTTCTTTTTGTGTTTTAACATTTCATGAAGTGAATCTTGTAGAACACTTATGCTCAGGCCCTTAAAAAGTAGGTATCCCTCTGGCACTAAACTTTTGCCTTTCTGACTGGTTCAATTGTATGAGTGATTCTGGGCCAGTGCCAGCTGGAGGACTCTTCCTGCTAAATTCCGAGGTCTTGTTTGTGCTCCCATTTCAGTTTAAAAAGTTGTGTACAAACAGAGGTGAAGTGTGGAGTCAGTGCTCTAAGAAAGAATGTCTGCTGGTCAATGTAGTTGTTATTTTTCTCTAATTGGAAATTAATTAAAATACCTGTAGAAATTGGTCTTGGTTGTGTTCCAGAGGTGAGACTATAATGCACAAACCCGAGTTTTACAGGAATTTGGCTTATGCCAAAACAGCCCAAGTGTTTTCAGGCTGTAGAAAGCTTCCAGAACTTTGCAGCATTCCTGTGTCAATCCGGGCTCTGTCCCTGTTCCCCTGCACACAGGTCTATGGTGCTACATATTTGCAGAAGCTGTTGGAACCCTTGCTGCGGACTGTGATCACATCCCCGGAGTGGCAGCATGTCAGCTTTGAGGTGGATCCAACAAGGTTTGAGATTCAGGGCGAGCAGCAAATGTATTTATTTGTAAACATGATTCCCACTCATTGTCTGTAATAGGATTCCTTTTTCCTTGTTGCAGATATTTCTCTCATGCTTCATACTGTTGTACCTCTCACTTTTCCAGACACATTCATTGTCTCTGCAGCCCTCTTGCTCTGTTGCTTTAAATTATTTCTAACCCTTAGAAAAATCAAAAGTATTCATCTCTTTAGTAGCTTATCCAAAGATAGGCCTTCTAGTGAATGCTTTAACCATCAACTGTGTCTACCTCAAAATTCCTTTCAGATAAACCATCATGAACTGATAATGCAGTTTTCAGTTGGAATTGTGCACGCATGTGTTTGGATGAAATGGTCTGAGAGAATGCCACCTTCAGCTGTCTGTTCATTACTGAGTTTTACATGGCCTTTTATTTGTACCTTATGTGGTTTAAAATAACGATGGAAACTTTTGTGTAAAAGATCCCAAGTATTTCCATAAGAAAAAGGGGAAATGAGGTTCTTACCAAGGATGTAAGTGCAGCTTGTGTTGTGTTTGATGGCTGGTCATACATGTGTGGGTCTGTTTCAGGCTGGAGCCCACAGAAAGCCTTGAAGAAAACCAGAGGAGTCTCTTGCAAATGACAGACAAGTTTTTTCAGGCAATCATTAATTCCTCCTCGGAGTTCCCACCCCAGCTGCGCAGTGTGTGCCATTGTTTATACCAGGTATGCCTGCAGTGCTTGCCTGCCCCTAAGCTTGGGGTTGGTTTGTGAAATTCCAGCACTTTGGAGCTCGGTGCTAGACACAGGGGCGTCTCTAAAGGCTCTTTGGATGTTTGATAAGTAACACCAGTCTGATCACTGGGCTAAGGGGTGTTTTAAGGCTTGTGTTTGCAGCCAGGAGGTGACTGAAGGTGCCCAGGTTCCCTGACCTCCATCCCCAGCTCCTCTGCTCTGTCTGTGGCTGCTGAGCCCAGTGTCCTGCTGGATCTCCTTGTGTGTTTCTGATGGATTCAGCTGCTGCTAAAAATCTGAGTAAGAGTTCCCTTGGGGCTCAGTGGGAATACAGTTTCCAGTGCACTTGGAGCATGTCACAGAAATGCTGTGCCTGGTGGAATATTGGAGCTGTGGTCTCAGTGAGGTGCTCTGGAAGAGCTACTTCTGCTCTTTCAGCCAAAGTCTGTATTCAGGTCTAAGGCAAAGCCAAGCAAATGGATTTTCTGACCTGAGTGAACTAATGATGAGTAACTAAAATCCTGTCACATTTGCACAGGAGATGCTGGGGTGATCAGGGCAGCTGCTGCAATCCCCAGAGCTTGGGAGTGAGAACAGGGAATGTGTGTTGGGACTGTTGTGGTCTGGGGTTGTTCCTGTGAGCCCTTGCACTGAAGCATGTGTGCAGATGCTGAGCCTTGTTCCTCACTGAGAGCTCTCTAACAGCCTCTAAAGGCTTTTGGTTTCTCTTCCTGACAGTGGCTGTGTTTGGCTTGGTGGCAAAGTGACTTTGGGGTTTTTTGATTTGTTTGGGTTTTGTAATCAGGAAATGAAGTGGGCAGATTGGTCTCCTTCATGGCCACAGTCTCACAGACATCAACTAGAAGAGTATTTGAGTGTTACTAAAAATATCACACACAGCCTTGGTTGTTTCCTCTGTTATTGGATGTTGCATTCTCCCACACCTCATCCCAGAACTGGGTTTATATGCTGTTTCCAGGATGTGTCAGATTATTGCCATTTCAGTGCTCCATTGGTAGCAATTATTTCTGTGCAAACCATTGGTAATTCCTTCATGAAATGGAATTTTAAAAATGTGCTCACCAGCAGCCATTCCCACAGATTCTTCTATGGAAGCCTTTCCAAGTGTGTTGGCTTTATTCTTGCCTTTACTGTCTGTGGTAATAAGGGTAATTTGTTCCCAAAAGAGATTATTTACTGGCAGATATACAAGTGGTATTAACTGATATTTAGCTTCAATATTTACTACTTTAACTGTTTCTAGTAGCAATTAGATTTCTGTACAAGTGTTTGACTAACACTATTTGTGATGAAGATTTTGTACTTAAAATTTCAGGGAGTTTTGAGGTCTAGCCTTTATCTGAAAGAAAGTACAACCAGGATCTGATGTGGGGGCATTAATCCATTTTTATTGTAAGAACCAAATAGGTGATTTTTATAAGATAACTTCCCTTTTAAAAAGGTGAACGTGTTCCATCCCAAGCACTAGTGTGAGAGTAAATTATACCGAATTTTGTGGTGGTTTTTTCATGCTTGGAGTGTTAAAGTAACTGTGCAAAGAATGCTCACCAGATGTGTTCTGTAAATGATTAGTAGCTAGTTTTAATCACTGTGGTGTCTTTGGTTGGATATTGGTGTCTTTGCTGGCTGGTGTTTCTGTTTGGGAGCAGAGCCCAGTGAGTGTTTTCCTCTGGGACAGATTCACCTGGCTCTCACAGGTAATGTATGTTCAGGAGTGTGGGGTGAGAACAGGCATGCTCACAGTAACTCCTGCAGAGCATCTGTGCTGCCTCTTCCATCCAATCCCCACAAACACCTTGGGTTTTTTGTGAAAGCAGGGTGCAAACTCTCCTCTTGCTGCAGTATCCCAGTGAATAGAGAGTGTGTGCAACTGCTCCAGGAGCCACTCATGGAAATGGCCCAGGGAGGGCTGGCAGAGGTGCCAGTGGTTAAATGTCCCCAGGTCCTGCCCAGGTTCAGTTCAGCATGCTTAGCAGAGGGTTTTCCTGGCTGTGCTGGGTGGGGTGTTTGCTCTCCATCCTGTTCCATCCTGGGCTCTGGGAGCTCTCAGTGCCAGAGTGACCCTCTGCAGGTCCTGAGTGCTGCAGCCTGCCTGGGACTGGCCCTGGGTGCTGCTGGAGGCTCCCAGGCGTGCCCAGCCCTGTCCCAGCTCCCAGGAGTGTTGCTGCCTCTGCCTGGGGAGCAGCACGAGGGCTGGGGCTTTGCTCAGGGCTGCTGCAGTAAAACAGAACTGGGGCCTTGGTGGTGGGTCCCTCTGCATCTCAGTGAAATGCAGAAATAAGCACAAGCAAGTCAGATCTCTTGACTTGGAAATCTCTAATAAATTAACTGTAGGCTGTAGCTTCTTTCTTCCTTTGTCCAGAGAGTGTTTTATGGCAGTTACCTCTCACAGTGTAATAACCCTGATGGTTCACAGGTCTAACCAAATTGAAGGACACACAGAGAAACATTGGGAAGATTTGAAACTCTAAATTTAATTTAAAAAGCAATATGTGTTTCAAAGGTATAACACTACTATTTGTACTGTTGAAATTATTTGGGGATGGTAAAATACATTTGAAAGCTGAATACACCATTTAAGGCCCAAGATTGTGTATCATGAGCACATTGATGTGGTTTGACTTTTAATCTAGCCAGAAATAGTAGAAATGATTGAAATTCAACATTTGCTTGTTTTGTATTTAGTGCTTTGTAAATAAGATGTAATAAAACTGTGGAATAAAAACTCCATCATCAGTCTTTAGTTTATATATTTCATTTTCTGTTGGTTATGTTTGTTACATTTTACTGTGTAATTTATGTACAAGTCAACATTGGTTTTTTGTTGCTGTATGTAGTTGGTGCTGTGACTTGTTTGTGCTCATCTCTGTTCTGTAGGCAACTTGCCACTCTCTACTGAATAAAGCTACCGTAAAAGAAAAAAAGGAAAACAAAAAATCAGTAAGTTTGGAGACCTTTTTATTAGCCATTTCTTTCAAAGCACAACAGAAATCTTTTGCTGTTTGTTCAAAGTATCTTCACTTCAGTCTATTTGACCTCACTGTAAAATCATTCTACTAATTCTGGCACAAAATAGCTTTCATTTCAATTAACACTGGAATTAAGTTAGATTTAAAATATTCTCTGTGTGCCTATTTGAGTAAATGAGACATTTTTAACATTACTGCTTAGTATTTAATATTCTGACTCTTCTAGTCTTGCCACCATCTTCAAATTAAAAAATTGTGGAAGAAAAATGTTTCCTTTGGTTTTGAGAAAAATCTGGGTCTGTTGAGCTGCTTTAACACTCTGGCAGATAACCTGAGCTTGCATCCTGGGCAAAGAACAATTAATATTTGTGGGGTACTCGAAAGAGGCTCGTGGGACTTGTTTCTGACACATTTTCTTCTGTTTCCTTTGTGATTAAGTGAGAAAACCCCAGTTTTAGCACTTGTATTCTTTCCTGAGAAAAGCAAATTTTCCATTTTAAGTAACTTGCTGTGTTAGGGTTTAGATCTGTGGGTTGCTTCAGAGCATTGTGTGTAAAAGTTCAGACTTACTCTTTTCTTCGGCAGTGACCTCAAAATATAAAGTATGAATCAACCGGAATGGAAATCTAGACTTTTATTAAATACTGTTATTTTTCCTGTAACTGAGCAGAATAGTAATCATGTTTAAAATGCAAAAGTTGTGGGCAAGCCAGTATTTTACAAGAAAATACCAGTAATTGCATCACAAGGTAACTGACTGGAGTTGCTAATGAACCAAAGTGATTCTTGGTGTATTTTGTACTAATGGCTGTGTCTGGTTTGAGCAGCATGATTTGAGATTGCATTAGTTATGTTTTGAAGTATTTTACTAAACTGGGATTTGTTTGGAGTTTTTTAATTTTAAACTATATAGGATAATATCAAGTTTGCTAATTTTATTCTGTGGAAAGGAAGAATCTGGCTCCTTTTGATTAACCATTGTTACTTGTTACAGTATACACATGAGGATATTGATGTTTTATAGAACCACATGTTGAATATCTAAGAACTTCATTTTTGTCAGGAAGCTTTGTCTTTAACTTTTCAAAGTTAAATCAAAGATATCCAAAGAACAACTCTCCTTTTAGTAATGCACAGTTGATTTCCTAAAAGTAAAGAGATTTCTTGGGGATTATTTTTTTCCTGGATGGCAAAGGACAATATTTTAAATCTGCTCAGTGGTTTTATACAGCGTATGTGTAGGCAGAGGAGTGCACTGGCCACTCAGCTCTGGCTCTTTCTGTCCTGCTGTGGAAAGATGATGGTTCTGAAGGGTATTTCTGCAAATAGCTCCTCCTCACAAATTGAGAATTACTCCTGAAGCTGTAGAACACAGTGTTATTGCTGGAGAGGCTCATGGCTCAGTTGTGCAGTCACAAACACACAGACCAAAGACCCAGTGGGTGGAAGGTGTCCCCTGCCCTGGGGCAGGGCACTGCACACCTGAGGCACCTGTGGGGTCCCTCCAGGGGCAGGGCCCTGCGTGGGGTCAGCTCTGAGACATGGCCAGGAGCTCTGGGACCCGTGTCCCTGCCACGAGAGCAGTGCAGCAGCTGAGGGAGAGCAGCTGCTGTCTGAGGGCCCCACTCCTTTCCCTCTTGTTCTGGTTCTCTGGGATGCAAGAGTCCTGCTCCGGCGTGCTGCGCGTGGTCGGTGTGGAAGGAATGCTTGGCTTGGCTCGCCATGCGGGGCTTTGGGCAGCCCTGCCCCGTGCTAAGCACAGGCCTGTTGTGTGTGCTTGTCCGTGCACAGGTGGTGAGCCAGCGCTTCCCCCAGAACAGCATCGGCGCCGTGGGCAGCGCCATGTTCCTGCGCTTCATCAACCCCGCCATCGTGTCCCCGTACGAGGCGGGCATCCTGGACAAGAAACCCCCGCCCCGCATCGAGCGCGGCCTCAAGCTCATGTCCAAGGTGAACCCACAGCCTGACTGCCTGCCCTGGGTTCTGTGTGCCTGCTTCAGTGCTGCTCTTTGACCGCTGTGAGAAATGGGGGAACGTGGAGGTTTTGTAGCAGCCATCCCGTTTATTGACAGTGCAGTGTCTGTGCTGTGTCTATGCATCGTGGCAGTGTTCGAGCTCTCTGCAGTGTAAGGATGAACACTGGCCAAAAGGATGGATAGGAGAGTGGGATTCCAGCCCTTCACTTGAACTTCTCATTTGGGTAACAAAGAGACCGATGTTCTGTGAGCACAGTGAGGGTAGCAGTGCCAGCATTATTCAAGTTCATCCCACTGCTAAAGAAGGGATTTTTCCTCCCTTTAATCTTATTTGGTCATATTTCTTGTGAAAAAACTTTTTAAAAGAAAAGGTTTAATGAGGGCACACGATTTCTGTGGCCTGTCGATATTATCCATTGTAAGTGTTGGGAGATCATATTTTTCTTTAGATAGGGGTGTGCTACTGCTTTTACTTACCTGTCTTAAGTTCCAGGAGAAATACTTAATAACTTACTGCTGGTTTGAAAGCTGATTTATTTTCCTAGTTTAAAGTTCATAAAGAAGAGAATTACGTTTTAGTATTTAAAAGTATGAGAAAGAAAAGACTTTGAAAGTGAATGTATTTTAAATTACTCACTGGCTTTTTGTTGTGAAACCTGAGACAACAAGTGAAAATAAACTGTTTCTGCCAGTTTAACTTCACTGGCAGAAATGTTTGTGTCAATTACTGTAACAGTAATACAGTAAACCTCTGTGTGTCCCTGCCACGTTTCTCCCTTTAGATCCTTCAGAGCATTGCCAACCACGTGCTGTTTACGAAAGAGGAGCACATGCGGCCTTTCAATGACTTTGTGAAGAGCAATTTTGACGCGGCGCGAAGGTACGGGCTGGGGACAGCACAGGGGTTGTGCTGTGTGCAGGGAGAGCTGGGGTGCCCTGCAGGACAGCCCTTCGCTGTCCCTGCCACCCTGAGCGTGCTCCTGGCTGGCCATTGCAGGTTTTTCCTGGACATCGCGTCCGACTGCCCGGCCAGCGACACTGTCAACCACAGCCTGTCGTTCATCAGCGACGGCAACGTGCTGGCCCTGCACCGCCTGCTCTGGAACAACCAGGAGAAAATCGGCCAGTACCTGTCCAGCAACAGGTGAGCCTGCAGCCCTGCACGGGGCTGTGTGCTGAGGGGACAGCCAGCACAGCCCTGGAATGCCTTGTGTTGAAGGAACATAAAGCTCAGCCCAGCCCCTGCCATGGGCAGGGACACCTTCTGCTATCCCAGGGTGATCCAAGCCCCAAGCCTGCCCTGGGACACTTCCAGCGATCCAGGGGCAGCCACAGCTTCTCTGGGAACCTGTGCCAGGGCCTCCCCACCCTCACAGGGAGGGATTTCTTCTGAATATCCAATCTAAATCTCCCCTCCTTCAGCTGAAAGCTGTTAATATTTGGAAATACTTGCTTCTGTTGTTACTGAGAGGAATATCAGTCATCATTGAAGATTTCTCATAGTTACTCTAAAAAAACAAATCCAGCTTGTTCCAGTTGAGGAAGGGTGGTGGGAGTTGCTGAGAAAGGAGGAGTTTCCTGACAGAGAACACGTTGTTTGTAGGGACCACAAGGCTGTTGGACGACGACCTTTTGACAAGATGGCAACGCTTCTTGCCTACCTGGGGCCTCCTGAGCACAAACCTGTGGCAGATACACATTGGTCCAGCTTAAATCTCACTAGTTCCAAGTTTGAAGAGTTTATGACAAGGTAATGAGGTTATTGTGGTGGGGACACACAATGTGGGTTTCTAGACTTTATCATGTGAGAATATGTCAGTAGTTCTTAAGACTCTCTGCTATCAAGACTCTCTTTTAAAGGAGAGTTTAAAAAGCTGAGTCTACACAAACCTTTTAGGTTTCTGAGTAAATTTTAATTAAAAAACTAAACACTGAGTATGAGGAATGGTGATAACATATGTGATTTAAGGAAGGCTCAAGATTGTGTAAACTTAATACTTTTGTTCAGAGAGAAGTAAAGAGGGTTTGGGATTTTTAAAATTTGTTCAAAAGGCAGTTGTGAAAGTTGATGTCAATGTATTGCTTTTTAGGCATCAGGTACATGAGAAAGAGGAGTTCAAAGCACTGAAAACATTAAATATTTTCTACCAAGCTGGGACATCCAAAGTTGGCAATCCTGTTTTCTACTACATCGCTCGGCGGTAAGAAACCTTTCACCTTCCAGTCTGAAATGAATCTGTCAGTCAAAGGTGTCAAGTGCATGTAAGAGACACCAGCTTGGTAACAAACAAGAGTCTGAAAATAGCTTATTTGTTAATATTTGCTGACAGTATTTTTGAGTTGTTTCCTATACCAAGATTGGCATTTCAAAGTAATTACACTCATGACAGGAGTCGTTCCTGGAGGTGTTAAGGAAAGGGAGATCCCTGTGCCCACCCCCAGGTGTGGTCAGAGGCAGCTCTGAGGACTGGACGAGCTGCTGAAGCTGCTCTCTGTGCTGAGGTGCTGCTGGTGAGGCTGTGCTCCAGCCCTGGGGAGGCTGGTTTGGCCTGGGGGGCCGTGGGGTTGCTGGCACAGCCCCTGGGCTGTTCATGGTCTGGTCATTGCTGCTGCATTTTGTGCCTCTGGGAGCAGAGCCCTGCCTGGGGGTGCTGGGGTTGCTCTGTGGTTTGTGCACTGGCTCTGGGGGGCACTTTCAGTGTTGTCATGAGAGGATCTCATCAGTGGTGGTTCTTTGGATGGAGTGATAGAACACAAGATGAGGAGCATCATCATTTACCTTCTGTCCTGATTTTCTGTCTTCAAAATCCACACAACAGTCCATGAAACCTGCAGGTGTGCTGACAGAAAGGGCTGGCTTGAGGGCAGCCTGGATGCTTTTTCCCTCCCTATAATTATTTTTTTTTTAAAGCAAGATCCCTAATGTTTAATCCCCTTACATGCACAGAGTTAGAATCAAAGGCAGTCTTTTGAATTCTCTTAAAAATCTCTGCTTGCCACATTTTTCTTCTCCATTTTGTTCCATTAGACACAGTCTTATTTCATGTCAAGTAAAACAAAATGCCTGCATTGTTATCCTGCCTTGTTCAGACAAGAAATTAGGCATACAAATGCAGAGAGTGGTGATAACCCATCTTAAAAAGTGACTGTGCCTGGCAGTGATCCGAGGCATCCTTATGTATTCTGTGCAGACATGACATGCAGTGTTTCCTCGTTTGCAGAGCAAGAAATGGTTATTTCATCTGCAGAGAATGAATTTCTGGGAGTAAATCAAGACAAAACTTTGCACCACGTGTTTGCTAGGCCTAGCTCACCTCCCTCTTCTTTAAAAGCAGAAAAATTAATTTATCCAAAGATGCCTCACTGGGCAAAACTGTCATGGTGCAGTCAGCCAAGCATTCCTGCCTTCAGAGAGGGTGGGTAGGAGCAGATTTCTGAACATTTTACCCAGGTATGGGATATTAATGAAAATATTGTTGTGCTGCAACATAGGCCCTGCTGCTAGGTGAGTGATTACCTTTGTCTTCAGCAGCTGCACAGTTCAGGAATCCTGGCAGGGCTGCCTTGCAAACCAGCAGGAAGGGCTTTGCTCTGGGATGGTGCTCTGGCATCATCTCTTCTCACAGGGATATGGCGAAGTGGAGCTTATTTGTGGTGTTTGTCTTCTGGTTCTGAGACAGGTGTTGTGTTTTCAAGGTGTGAAATGTGGAAAAATTGTTTAGGTTGGAGCTGCCAGGCTGTTTGAGGGCTTGTAGCAGGCTGGGGTTTTTTGGGGTTGTTTTTTCTCCGTTTTTTTTTCTTTTTTTTTTTTTATAGTTGAAGATCTTGTTGCTAAGGCATTGTTGAGTCATTTTACTGATATATCTGGATCAGTTTATGTCCTCCTTGTGCTGTGAAATTTAATTCCTTCTGTCATCTATCTTCACATTTTGTTTCCTGGGCAACAACCCAGCTTCTGGAGCCAGTGCTCTTCTGTTTTTAATCCCTATCCAGTTACAAAAATGATCCATAAATCAATGAATATTGATCCTGAACTACTGCCATTAGGTTTTAAGGCTGATCCCAAACTAATTAATAGGAATAAAACCTCTGAGTTATTGCTGCAGACCGCAGCAATCCCCACAGCAATTTTACCCTTTGCAGAGCGAGTACCCAGCTGTTAGAGGTGTGCCAGAGCTTTTCTGGGTGTTTTGAACATTGCCCTGAAATGGTGAATGATTGTTTTGGATAGCAGTTTCAGCGAGAATAGGTTATCCTGTGTTTCTGGAGTCCGAGTGCATGTTTACAAAGCCAGGCCCCGAGCTCAGCCCAGAGTGGCTGCGCAGTTGCTCAGCAACAAGTGCTCGCCTCCCACCTCCTGCCTCCTCCCCGGGCCTTATCGACTCATTCGTATTCCAGAAAAATACCAGCAAGCCTGAATTCCAGTCTGCCTTTCTGAAAGCAGTCTGAGCAGGCAGCCCTGGTCTGCAGCAGCTCAGGCAGGGTTTGGGAGGGAGCAGAGCCCTGGAGTGCCATGGTCCAGCTCACTCCATACCCAGCTGTGGGGCTGGGATCCAGCTCCCCACTCCTGCTTTTGGGAAAGCCCAGAGCCCCATTGCCCCTTCCAGGCTTTTCTCAGCATGCTGAGCAGTTTGAAGGCTGGATGGCATGTCCTTCAGGGTGGAGGTTTGTCCCAGTTTGTCCCAGCTAACCTCTGGAAAGCAGTGTTTTCCTGTTGCTGGTCATCAGATTGTCTCATTATGGGTGAAACATTCTCAGAGCCTTTAATGTCAATTCCCTGTAGGTTTTTTAATGCAATAGAATTTGGCATCCTGTACTGATTCTGCAGCAAAGACACATGCAGTATTTCCTGGAATTTCCTCAAATCAAGCAGTTTAGCCACAGCACCTCATTTTGAGTCCTGCCTTGCAAGCCCAGCTGCTCCCACTGTGTGGGATGAGGCCAGGGAATGATGCAGTTCTGGGAATTGCTGAGTTCTGAGCATGGGAAATAGGTTGGTGCTATGCTACAGTCAGCACTTGACAAACCCAGGGACTGTCCAAGGAGTGTGGCAGCAGGGACTTCTTCAGTGTTTCTAAGTTCTAAAGAGTAGGAAGGGGAAGGATAGTCACAGTGTTGTGTCACCTCATCAGCTTATTGCTAAACAATGTTAGAGATAGATCAGAATCTAAATAACGCAATTTAACATAACCATAATTTCCCTCCATAAGACATATCTGTTTTAAACAGGTTTGTATAATGCAATGCTATTTATTTATTTGTTTTACTCTGCTTATTAGAAAAGAGGCACAGTCACTAGTTCAGTTCAATACAAACATAACTTTATTTTTACTTAAATGCCAATGAAATAACTGTACAAATCCATTGTGTAACATTTACTGTTAGAAATTAAAACACGTTTCCGGTTATAGAAATACTGTTCACAATTGGAAAGTTGTCATTTCTCTGATACCAGTAGTTGTAAATGATCTACAGCCCCCATTGACACCTTAGGAGAAACAGGTAGAGGACTCCAGTCTTGGTTGTGAGGTTTTCTGGGTTTTGCAGCACCTTCATGCTACAATAACTGGAAATTAAATGGCCTGGAATGAATGGAAAACATTGTATAAGATCTGTAATATTAAGTGGATAATACTTTTTCAATTAACTTGTTCTTCAGTTTTCATTTCATGCTGTTTGCAAAACTTCATCTGTAGTATATCAAGTACCTTTGCCATAATTTAGATAATTTTCCTAGAGTGGACAGAACCATGCGTGCAGCTATTTCTACTGGCTGACGGAGCAGATGTGGAGGAGAAGAGCATCCATGCTCGCCCTTAGAAAGCAGGGATGTGGGCATGTTCAGTGCCATGGCCTGCATTCCTTCTCTCTGGAGCCACAAGAGTCAGGAGTGTTTCAATGGCAGCTCACCAGCTAACTGCTTAATTGATTTGTTACATGACTTGTGCTAGAAATCAGCTGATATTTCATTTTACTGATAGTAGTTTGCTACGTTCTGGCTGATTTGTGGTATTCTTTTAAGCAGAACATATTAACATTTCAGGATGTCACTTGACATAAAGTCAAGGAGTTCCAGGTCATTAATTTGGGTAGATAACTCCTTGGTGTTTGACAGTGTCATGGCATTGAACATCTGGCATTTTTCTCTACTTTTATCTGTTTTTTTTCTTCTTTTTTTTCTTTTTTTAATATGGAGAGAGCAATAACTTGCCTGCAGTCTCTAAGTCAAGCCAGAGTAGAAGGATACTGGCCCCTACCACTGTCCCATGCTGAAGTTGGACCATGTTGCCATCTCAGTTTACACCCTCTTAGCAGATATCATGGCATTGTCATATTTAATTCCTAAATTCAAAACTGTTGTTCTTCATATTTAAAATGCTCTAATACATATGAAGCAAACGTAGATATACATGCTAGCGATTTTGCTCAGGAATAACTTCTGATTAGTGAAACAGTTCAGTTTAGTTCCTTTATTTTTTTCCCTTTCTTTTGCATGTCATCATAACTTACAAAGAATCTGTGCTGCTATATTACAGGAATTGCTCACTGGCAAGTCAAGCAAGACAATGCAGATATGATACAGGCCTTCTGTTTTTTTCCAGTTGTTCAATGACAAAATCATACGTAAAATCAGTACTTAAAATTCTGATGTGTTTATTCTGTGCAAGTAAAATGAAAAATTTAAATACAAAATAAGCACATTTTTAAAAACAAAATAATAGATTAGTTGTACTCAATTAAGACATATGAAAATAAGTAGCAGCTTAGTATCAAGACATTAGTGTGCGCGTCTTTAAGAACTGTTACTTTCTTTAGATCAGAGTCAGGACCTTGAATTTCTTTCATTCATTATTTCAGCTGGATGTGTTAACTCCAGCTGTTATCACAGGAATAACCTCAGTAATTTCCACGGGGTGCAAGCCCTTAGTCCATGGCCAGGGCCAGGGCGTGCAGCAGTGCCAGGCAGAGCAGCCCCATCTGCCAGCGGCTGGCGCGGGAGGGCACGCCTGGCGTGGCCTCCTCCTTCCTTAAGGTAGCGGTTGTGCTTTGAGGCATCTTGGAGTAGTTTGTTGGCACTCCACTGGTGATGCTTAAAGTCAGGGGAGTGGTGGAGGATCCGGTGGCCGGGGCCAGGCTGGCGTTGCCCTCGGTGGAGTCCTGGACGAGGATTGTGCGAGTGGCCGCGGCCTCCTGGGGGCCG